TAAATTGGAATCTATACAACATTTTAACTTTCAACATTTTGGGAATAAAAGTTTTTTCTAGGTCAGCGCTTACTGAATACTCCTCAAACAGCAATTTTGCTAAATAAGGTACTGTGTAGCATTTCGGCTTTCGTCTGCTCTCTCAGATTCTAAAGCCTGAGCACCTATTCCTACTAGAAGATATGCAAGGAGAAAAATATGAATGAAGCTGATATCTAGTATCCGACAACGTATCACTCATTAGTTTTCCTAATTTTGAATATATATTTGCATACGTATTCGTGATGATTTCAAACGATTTACCACAGGCCAAACAGCAAAATCATTTCACAAGAGACCTGAAAAAATATCAGGAACATTAAAGCGAAAAAGGTAAAATAGTAGAATTTGCAACTTGTAAAATTAAATGTCGAGTAAAACCAAAGTGTACTCTCTTTCTTGACACTCTAAATCAATAGGGAAATTATCTTCAAAATCAGTAAAATACTTGAAGGCCAAGGAAGATAACGGTAAAAATTTACACCAAGATTAGTGACACCCAATAATTTATCGTACAAACTTTCTGTGGTGTTGAGATCATCTTCGTCTTCCCTTACGTTTCCGGTATTAGACTAGTTATTTCTTCTATAATGATGCTAGCATTATACTCTTCAAGATATAAGTAAGGCCTGTTGTTGAATGGTATTGGTTCTTATTTTCCATTTTATACCGTCTCATATAATGAAGGTAGAAGGAATATAACGGCGCTCAAAACTCCCTGAATATGCTACTCAGAGCCATGCCCTATACGCATGATAGATTAACTGAATATGTTTATAAGGCATCTTAACGAAGACGTAGACTGCAAAAGTTCTCCACCACACGAACTCAACCACAACAAGCTTACACATTATTAACCTTCTACGCGTTTAAACTATATCGAATCCAGAGGGGCATTTTCCTTTTTTGCTCCTCTCTGAAGTTGTATTAAGTTCTCCTAGTGGGTTACATATCTCTCTTTAATTTTCGCTTGTTACAGGCTGATAACTCACGAGGTCAATCGATACGGTTTAAATGTACCTAGCCAGTGAGGTGTAACTCTCCGCTCCTTGTGACTTGTCATTCACACCTCACCATTTTCTTACAATTTCCAGTGGTCATTCATCCTTTGGCTTGATAAGCCATCACGCGGGTCGGATTGGACAAATTTTATAAGCGCCTATAATTTGGTGAGTTCCTTACTGTCTATCATCAGTTCACTGCTATAACATAGACACTGCTGACTTGCTTTTGTTTCAGTCTCGTGATACACTGCCTATGAACCGTAGCTGCTACCTTAACGAAGTGGTGTAACTTGCCAGTTGTGATGACCGGACCTGATCGTATACCCTTAACATCTCGAGCCACTAATGCTAGCGATTTGAGCACATGAAACGCTATTCCTAGGAAAGACACTAACTTACTTACACCTGCGCCTATATGGTACTCAGATATTTTACACCAGTATGGAATACATATTATGTACTCAGCCTAATAGATCACTATACTGGATCCACAATCGTACCATTTTCGCTATTTACTGTCTCACATTAGTCACGTAGCTTTTCGGTTTTATTTTCAAAAACTAATATATTTTACTCCAAATATGAGTTTAAGTGTGATATTTTTGTGATATAATATATAGAAATAAAATGTTACATTTTATCGTCAAGTAAAATGATGAAACTCTTCCGGATCATTTATGGAGTCCGCTACCATTTCGGGAATTCTTGTTTTCAGTCGTAATAATAGACACCTGCTGGGATTTAGTTTGATGCAACCACCAACCTTTGTCACTACTTTCCTCCCTTAACGGAAAAATCTAGGAAAAATGGTTGACCTCAAGAGCGTAGCCTGAACACATTACTCTTCACAGTCGAAGATTCTTCATTCCTTAGTGGCTTATTCTGTTGTTTTACTTTAAATTTATATTTTAATTGCACTGTTTAGTGGGAAGTCGTTTATATATATATATATATATATATGCCCACTGCAGCCTAAACTCACCCTTATATGATATGTCGGGACTAAACAGATTGCCAGATTCAGTGTGGATCGTTCTGAAACCAGCAAATGCAGTTTCCTTACTGTTTGGCTGTTTCTACTGTCAGCCTATAGCAACAACAGGAGATCTAGCATTATTGTCAGAAGTATTCACGTTTGCATCATCCCTACTGTTTACAGGCAAGGTTATTTGTGGGTACTTCAACATGCCTGAAATCTCTTGGTTCCCGATCAAAACACCTAAACGATTTGAATCATTTATTGAATGCTTAGAGGTTGGAGAGTGGACTCAACATGTTGACCGCCCAACAAGAGATCGAAATACATTGGATTTAGTTTTCACCAGCAATCTCATTCCTAGTACTGTATATATTGGAAAAAAATTCCCGGTAGCGATCATAATATGGTCATATGCAGCCTTGAAATAGGAGCCACAACTATACAACGTATTTCCACTACACCTTAACTATTATCTCTAAATCCATACGACTGATTGGGTTTATAAACAAAAACTTCTTGACAAGTGAGGCTAAGCTTACACTCTTCAAAACGTGTATATGGCCCTCACTTGAATACTGTTCATTCGCCTTTACAAACATGAATATCATGGACAAGATACGAGTAGAAAATGTCCAAAGAAGCTTCACCCGGCGACTGCTCACATGGAGTCATAACCTCGACTACACAAACCTCTATGGCGCAGTCAATTGAAAAACAACCTAACACTTCTCTATACACTGATAAATGGTCTCTCGTTCATAAAATACCGCCCAATTATCTTCATAACTCCCACGGAACCTCGAAGAACCTTTTTATTGATCATTTAATACCCTGACGTGTCTTAAAACAATTATTAACCATCCATGAATATACTGAAATTCTATGACCATTCATAATCGAAAACAAATGACAAAACATATGATTTCCTTTTTCTCACTACCTGCAATAGTAGATCACACTTTTATGCTCCTACTCGTAACAGTCACAGCTTCCTTACTATTTAGAGTGACATCTTCCATAAAGTTTCAAATCCATTTCAGGTAGGTGTAGAAATATTTATTACTCTTGCAGTGAGCTCTGAATCAAAATAGGTGTAGGTTCGCACGCGTCTCGCCCAGTCCAATTTCAAAAATAACAAATCTGGGAAAGAACGGTTCTATTTTTAATCAAAAAGGGAAATACAGACAATAACCAAAACAATATTACACCTTCGAGTTTCTAATCACAACAATAAGTTTCGATACTGGAAGAATAAGTGCTTCCAGTAAGTTGCAACGAGCTGCTGCCAGAGTAGGGAATCCAAATATGGCTGTGGCCATATTAAGTATCAGTTTTAAACAACACATATATAGTTCAGAAGGAAACATAGAAACTTCAATATGACTACAAGATATAGAAATAAGAACAAGATACAAATGATAAAATCCCAAAATGGGATCAAACAAAGTACCAAAATATCGAACAGAAAGAGTCAGTCAGATCATAACACAAATATATATACATGGAGGGATTTTCCAAAAGCAAAGTCTTCAAAATTGATTCTACAGTAGGCATGCTATATGAAGCCACAACCATAAATGACGAAAATGTTTGTAAGATTATTTTCCATATTATTGTAGTGAGACAAGACGGAACTGACTTTGAACACCACTACGGACCAGTTACGTTCCCGCCACCAAGTGTAATAGCTTCCTGAGTCAATGACAGAGAAGAAGAGCTCATCGAAACAAAGGCGTATATTTTATGGCGACTTCGTGGTATCCAAAGAATACCGAAATTGTGCAAGAAAAGAGAGGCGAAGTTACAGCGAGTAGTATAACCAAAATGGCAGCAGCACAAACAGAAGGTTTGTGTGTACGAATAAACGAAGAGCACAGAAAAACAATCACTGGTACAACTGGTGATAATAATGAATGCTTCTATCAAACCAATGGCCTTCTCTTCATAAAAGTGGAGTCCCTTCACTATAATTCAAGTTACCTCAATATTTCTGTAATTTCCTTTGGGTTCTATTTGTCACATTATCTTTCAATCTTCAAATCACTCATGACCTTGGTTCTTTCAATTTATGATGACATTCGAATTTATTCCACTAAAAATCAATAATCTACTGTTATAACAACATGATCATTGTAGTCAATCAGTTTCGGTAGAGATTAATCATACAATATTGAAAAATAAAGAATATTCGAGCGAATTACTATGAAATTGTACAACAAAATAACAATAAAAACTTATCAATGATTTTTTTATCTCACTACAGTTCACTTTAGTCATTGTTGATTTCTTTTGAACAATTTTTTTATGCTCATTCGGAGAGATGTAAGATTTAACAGTGAATTAAGTAGTACATGGATTAGAATACAATTTATTTTCATTTACAATTCATACTACCATATCTGAAACTGAACAACTATGCATACTACCGTAGCAAGTAGAAACAATCTTAACACTTTGTTTTCAATCAACGTCAAAATTCATTCGCTTATTTTTTCATCTCACTTCTAATGAAACGAAACAGATATTGTACATTGAACCTGCTATTATTTTAATAGATGTATAGAAAGAATAAATACATTTTTAATCATAACATAACTAATATAGAATGATTTCTGACTAAGATTCAAAGTACATTAGATGGATTGAAATGTGTAGGCTACAAACACATCAAACCACTTCAATATGTTATAAATTTAAATGATTTCCAAACACACACACACACACACACACACACACGGATTCAAATGTTAGAAGAACATTATTGAAACTGTATCACTTTTTATATTTCACATTACTATTCTCATATTATTAATTAATAACATAAACATAGGAAGATTCTTGATAAGATCCAAAGTACATTATATGGATTGAAGTGTGTAGGCTCATAATAATTCAAATCACTTCATTTCGTTATAAATACAATGAATTTCAAAATATTCAGATAGATTTAAGCCTTATAGAAGAACATCATTGAAACAATGTCATTGTCCATATTTCTCATTTGTGTTTTACACATTGCATTAGTAAAGTCTCGATTGGATCCGAATTTTGAATTGTCCGATGAAAATGTTGGTGACAGTAATAAATGGGCTGTCTTAGTGGCAGGATCAAATGGCTATTTCAACTATCGGCATCAAGTAAGTGTATGAACATGTTCTCTTAATCAGAACACATAAAATGAGAGTATGTACGTTTGAATATATCTAAAGAGTTGTTGAGTTTTATATACTGCACGTGCATCATAGCGAGTAACAGCCAATTTTTCTAAAGTTGTATACTGAAGTTAAATGTATGTGTTTAAAACCTATCAGTCTTGAAGAGATGTCACATACAGTGAAATCCTCTGTACAAAATTCTATGCAGAGTTTTAAACTTATGAATTGGGAAAATATTTAAAAAAGGTCTTTATTTTTTGAATTCAACTTCCTACTGCACAAAACCATTGAATAAACACCTGACGGTATTCAAAGTACTAGACAGATTGAACACAAGTATGTCACAACTGAATTTATTCCCATTTACTCTCAATATTTTTCAACTACCTAAATAACATTGAATAAAGATGTTTACATTTCCAATCCATGCGAATGTGTTATCAAACAGAATTGATTGATTGCATATCCGCTTTTGTTATACAGATCAATTTGTAAAGAAGAATTTTATTAGTAAAACCATCTATCTATCAAGCACTTTGATTACGAAGACAATCGTTCTTATTCAATATTAAATTTTCACCGTGTTTGTTTTGCGTTCAGCTGTTGATCGAATTTTCCTATCGTGATGACTCAGTCGAGATGACTGTTTCGAAATCTGTCAGCTATATTTGGAAACTCAGTTAACTAAATATTCTTTGATAGTTAACAGTGGTCAGTCAGGTATATCTGAAAATATAAAAGGACTAATAGTGTTTGAGAGAGGCACAGTTCTAATATACAATTAGATATATGTGTCATTACTACTCAAATAAATTTTATTTCGACTGAGTTATGTACAGTAAGTGAATGATCATGACATACTCATTTATCTGTAAAGTTTTTTTTGTTTATAATCATCTAATGTTGATCGATAAAAATTTGTGATTGATCTAGTAAGCCCTGTTTGTATTCAATGATGTACAACATTGTTAAAATGATTGTAAATTTTCTTTGTTCATAATTTATGTGCCTCTTAAATGATTGATCGATAATTGAAATTCTTTTACAAATAAATATAGGCAGATGTTTGTCATGCTTATCATGTATTACGTTCAAAAGGTATAAAACCGGAACATATTATTACAATGATGTATGATGATATTGCTCATAATCCAGAGTAAGTAGTATATATTTCTTTAAATGTATGTATGTATGTAATTATGCATAAATCAGTGTATTTATTGACTGGTCATTGAATGATTTCAGAAATGTTGAAAATATAGTCAACTAGCTAGCTAGCTAGACGAATATATATTGAAATTGAATGTGTTGAACTCATTGTGAAAAAAGGTTAATTAAGAGCGAAAATCACGATAACTAGTAATTTCAACTAGTGGCTACATGCGCTTCAATTTGACGGATGAAGTTTAAGTGAAATGAACAATTAAAGATTAAAAGAACATTACTTACTATTTATTCCATGATTAGTCAACGGTGAACTTGTGTCTTATTAAGAACTATGTTACAATAAAATAAAACTTATTAATATTTGTGTTATACTCGTCTCTAGGCATACTTAAGACTATTACGGGTTCACCTTAGTCGAATAACGAGAACAAAACAATTAACCAGCGTCCACGTAGGCTACTGTGATCCGATTGTCTCATTTGTATCAGCAAGAAATCTTGATATAGCGTAGAAAGTTTATTCTACCAACACCCAGCCAGCACACAATGAATCCAAGCACTCGAATTGCGTTTATTCAAACTCCATAGAGACGTCCTTGGGGCAGTCACAAAAATAGCACACTAAAATGGCACAGTAACCAGTCACAGCCAAGGATTTTCCTGGTGGGAAATGTGGTCTGAAGATCAACTGATCGGTCCATGAAATAAATCCAAAATAAAGATATTTATCAAGCGAGTTCTGGGGATCTAACATCCCCAACACTTTAGTCATCAGGACGCTTAACACAGATAAATATGATGACATTATAGAATGGAGATGAGTAGAAGTAATGACTATTGAACTGGTGTAGGGGAAATACATTAGAAATCAAATAGCATAAAGTTATCTGTAACATTTCCGAATAGTTTACTCACTCTATAAGATATTTCAAACGTCCTTGAGATTCAAACTTTGGCGGACTATATGATGAATACACAGAAACAATGATTATAAAGCATTCTCCTACTTACTCCCCATTATGTAACTCTAATCTTAAAACAACGTTTCTTCTTAGTCCTGATTCACAGTTTTAACCAGTCTTGTTTATTTTAGTTAATAATTGAGCTAGAAACAGCCCAACGTTATCAGTGTAGTTTTTACTTCTACTATTCAGTGTTGATAAATGAAATTCAGCGAAAATCACTCGCTCATTCACTTACAATCTTCATTTGAAGCTTCGACTCTGATGTTCTTCATTCGTTCCATTCTGGTTTCCATTTGAGTTTACAAGTTTCGTGGAGGCTAATTTTAATTGATGGATGATTTTAGGAAATGTTCTTTCTTTCAGTCAATTCACTATTTTTTTTGATAAACTAGAAAGTGATATTTTGATCAAACATTGTTAATAAAAGATCTTCTGATTAAGTGCTTCAATAAAGTACGGTTGACATATTTTGAAAATTTCTCAATCTAATTTGATATCTGTGGTTTTGCAGTTCAAAATAATATCATATGTCAATTTTTAAGTCTACTCTTCCAATGCCAATGAATATATTTAAAAGGAATCAATTGTCTGATGAGCTCCACTGGTCGATCTCACTACTACCCCACAAAACGAAACCCCATCAAAATCTGATAATTTTCATCAGCATCCATTATCAATGAAGATGTTCACGTTTGCCTTTCGTTTTGTCCTCAACTGTTCACTAGTATCATTTGATACAACAAACCATCAATCAGGATAAGATTACGCATTATTCACGTCATGTCAACAGTTAACTTGTTATTCATCCGAAATTCTCGCTGTCAAACCTTCTTGTTGAATTCAGACGTACTTAGACAGCTTCAACAATCATATCGATACATAAAAAAAAGACATAACAGTTCTTCATGAACAAGTCAAGAAGTGGTTGTCAATAGGCAAGACTGAGAATCGTAAACTAGTAACGGATTCGGACTAGTAAATCATATTACTTACTTACTTACTTACCTACTTACTTACTTACTTACTTACTTACTTGCTTACTTACTTACTTACTTACTTACCTACTTACTTACCTACTTACTTGCTTACTTACTTACTTACTTACTTCACCACTTACTTACTTACTTACTTACCTACTTACTTACTTACTTACTTACTTACTTACTTACTTACTTACTTACTTACTTACTTACTTACTTACTTACTTACTTCGCCACTTACTTACTTACATACTTATGTCTGTTACCCACAATGGAGCATAGGCTGCCCACCAGTTTTCTCCAAATAACTCTATCCTGGGCTTCCCTTTCTAGTTTTTTCCAGTTTTTGTTCATTCTTCTAATGTCTTTCTCTATTTCTCGGCGTAATGTATTCCCGGACCTTCCTCTTTTCGTATACAGTGGCAATTTTAATGTCGTCATCAAAAGATCAGATTACAAAGAATATATATATATATATATATATATATATATATATATTAGATTATTGATCGTTTATTGATTTCATTAATTAATCGTAATAGTTATGTAACAAGCTTAGGATAGGAATGATTTTCATTTTATATTTATGTCAATTTTTAGAAATCCATTTAAAGGAAAAATTTTCAATGATTATAGACATAAAGATTATTATAAAGGAGTTGTAATTGATTATAAAGGAAAAGTAAGTGATTGCGTTTATTACTTTATGTTTTTTCTTTTTCGATTTCTGCTAACTATTTTGTCAATTCTGTGTGTGTGTGTGTGTGTAGATATAGTTACTTTTGATTTATTTTGGCACACGATCAGTACACTTGAAACATTTTTTATTGAATAAGGCAGCTACTTGAAAGTCAGGTGAAGCAGTGATGTGACAATCTGCATTCTTTATCATCCTATTCGTTTAAAATTGCGAGATTGAAATGCATTATTATTACGTCTGCAATCTTATTTTTATTAGTTAATTTCTGATTGCTGTTATCACTACTGACAAAACTCATATTATTACTATTACTACTACTCCGATTATTACTATTGTCACTACTACTACTACTACTACTACTACTACTACTACTACTACTACTACTACTACTACTACTACTGCCAGACATTACGTTTTCACTCGCGTCATATACTACTTATAAGTAGCGCGCACCACACTACTACTACTACTACTCCGACGACGACTACTACTACTGCTACCAATAATAATAATACTCTTCTGATGTTTGTTTATTTCCTCTCGTTGTCCATGTTAGGACTATCAACTGTGATTGTTGTATTATGCTGTTCATTTGGGACTGCATGTATCAAATCTATTATGACTAAAACTGATAACGAGCACTGCTACTTGTAAACTCACTTATAGAGCTTATTTCATAACTGTATTGTGCACTGACACACACACACACATTGAATGTGACTCCTCAAAAATTTCAGCATATTTCGACAAAAAATAATCAGGATAATAGTTAGTCTGTACCTTATGACCAAACGTTTTGATTGCTTCGTTTTGTACATTCTGTTATACTAGCATTTCGAATGAGATGTCAGCTTTTCTTATTTTGAAGAAGGAATAAACGTCTTGTTAAGATAATCGTTTTCAGATTTTATATTTTTTCCCATCTGATTCAGTAATAAAAAAATTATTCACTCTATATTTTTAGAAAGTCAACCCGGAAACTTTCCTGAGAGTTTTAAAAGGAGATAAAAGAGCAGGTGGGAAAGTGTTGAAAAGGTGAGTTGAATTCGTTTACAAATTTTTTTATTATTATACCCAAGCTTCATAATTAAAGTCATAGTAATTGTAGATATTGAATAGTTAGTTGGACGTAGGCGTTATCGGAATCTGCTTTAGCTCGGGTTTCGAACTGCTTTCCGCTCTTCGGCATAATGAATCTAGGCTACCTATTCGCACTATCATAAACAATATCTTTGGCTTGGTGGATTAGATACTGACACCTTTAATAGTAAAGGGATATCAGAATCGATTATTGATCGACAGTGATCAATGTCATGTTAAATTCGTATATAATGAATGGTTGTTTGGATCTTTCTACTGATATTAAGGACTGCAACTGATCAGTCTCAGAGTGAAAATCAACTCTGAGGTGCAGGTACATCTATCCAGCTGACAAATCCAAAATAGAACAAAATTCACATCCTGTACTCGAATGTTAGCAATCATTTATCTCTGCTAATTTTTGTTCTTGGTGATAGAAGGATTTTATCAATGAAATTGAATTATGCCCACCATTCTAATCCATTCAACAAAAAGTACACTATACTCGGATGTTGGATATAGTTGATAAGAAGCGCTTGTCGTACAAATTTTAATTCTTGATAATTAACTAATATAATCACAGATAAAATCATAAAATTTTACGAATTTTGGAATTGAATCGACAGTAGGAAATATACTCATCTAGACATTCGAAACAAAGAGAACTCTCTCTCTCTCTCTCTCTCGGTCATACACTAATTCCCATTAATTACATGTAACCACGAGATTTATGTGTCTGACACTGAATGATATATTTGTGGATAGTATAAATTGTTCATTTGCACTAACCTGTGACTGTGTAGTAATATACGAACGATTATTTATTCATCAGTGATGATTTTCGTTTGCTGTGACTGAAAATCATAATACTTTACCTACTTACTTATGCCTGTTATCCCCAATTGAGCATAAGCCACCGACCAGTTTTCTCCAACCAACTCTGTCCTGAGTTTGCCTTTCCAGTTCTGCCCAATCTTCGTTCATTCTTCTGATGTCTTTCTCTGTTTCTCGGTATAATGTCTTCCTTGATCTTCCTCTTTTCTTTTTACCTTGAGGGTTCCAAATGAGGGTTTGTCTTCTGATGCAGTTCGGTACTTTCCACAGTGTGTATCGTATCCACTTTCAGTGCTTCTCTAGGATTTCCTCCTCCACTGGAATTTGATTTGTTCTCTCCCACAGTGGGTTGTTGCTGATGGTTTCTGGCCAACGAATCTGAAGTATTTTGCGTAGATAACTGGTAATCAATACTTGAATCTTCTCGATGACGGCTTCGGTAGTTCTCCAAGCTTCTACTCCATATAGTGGAAATGTCTTGACATTTGTATCCATGAAAAAGCTTGTCTTTTGACGCAGTTGGATGCGATTATCAATGATACTACCCAGGAATATCATAATTCACCCGAATAAAAATATTACGAGATTTAACCTTTCCCTAACAGAAACCTAGAGCATAACTTGCCTACTGATTAGTACTCATGTATTTTTTTTAATTTCTACAAATATATCACGTCATGTCTGAGTACCACTGCAATGAATTATCTGACGTTCATTTTTAAATTGTGTACATTTAGAACTCTTAGAATGGACTGATTTCATACACGTTAAAAATATGTACCTTGATAATGATTGTTTATCATCATTTTGTTTGAAATTACCGCCTAAAAGTTACTGGTTCGCTGACATGACAATTAACATTCACAAATCTATGAGGCATATTATTATTATTATTATTATTTGGATTTATTTGTGTTTACAGTGGAAAAAATGATGATGTATTCATATACTTTACTGATCATGGTGCTCCAGGTTTGATTGCTTTCCCTGATGATGATGTGAGTGAATATCAGTGTTGAATGGATATTTTTCTTATTTATTGATTGACATGTTTGTTCTTACATCATAGAAAGTAGTTAAATTTTGTGTTATGTTGAATAAGTTTTATGCCTTTTCAATTTTTCTGACTAAAAATGCCTTAACTTATGTGATAGAATGGACCAGAGTACTCATAGCTGCCACCGATCCCAACTGTCACCACTAGATTGATTAATTTTAAGAATCAGTGTTTAGCCTAATTCATTGAGGATAATCTAATCTAGAATTGTTCAATATGGATGAATGAATACAGAGGGTATATATATTGTTGTGTCAGTAATATAATGTTAATTGAACAGGACTGATTCGAATCAGAGAAATACGTTTCACTCCATATTAGTTATTTAAACCTGTTGATAAATCTGAAATTTCAGCTGAGTTCTACTGATTAAGAACATGAGTTTCCTTTGTTGATAAGTGTGAAAATCCAAGTCCAGAAGAATTTCCTACATATCGCTTATCAACTTAACTATATAATAGTAGAACACCTGCTGACTATATCGAATAACATAATAGATTATTCTCCCTAGTTGATCGTTTCATCTACCAAGACATTCAATAGCTAACACATCTAGTTTTTAGATATTATGAAGTACCGTACTTGGACGAAACAACCATCTAGTGCTTTTTTTTCGCAATGATATCTCAACTGAATTCAGTGCATGATGAATGCCATATAAACATGTATAACGTGATAATTAACTAAGTCTATGTTACGGAATAAAATCAACAAAGGAACGGAACTACTGGGAGCATCATTGTTGGCAACCAATTGTAAATTGACTTACTCAATATTTTGAAAATTAAAAACATCTACTCAATTTTTGTAAGTAGTGTCTCTGTTGTGTGTAAAATTATTTGTAAACAAATGAATTTGTATAAATACGATGTGTATTTCACTTAAGTTTTCATGAAGCTTTAACTGTTACATTCAATCATAATGATAAGATGAATTGTATAAAGCGAAATTATTCAACTGTAGTGAGATGAGAAAAACAGTATGTATTCTAGTTCAATGACTTTATCATGTGTGTGGAATGATAAGTCTACGTAGAAATTGAACAGTCATCAATATATATATCTTGAATAAATAGGAACTGACTCACTGAGTTAACTAGTGGCATTCTTGATTAAAGAAGCGTTATGCAGACTAGTAAATTTCTTCCAGTTCAGTATGGTATGATCTTTTGTTTCCGGTATTTCTTAAGTAGTTCCTTTTAACAATTATAATCATGTTAATTCTAATTAATGTGTCTAGATTACATAGTTGATAAATAAATTTCATAACTCGTTTAGCGCCTTATTTGTGTTTTAATTTAAAGTTACATGCGAGACGATTTATCGACACACTGAAATACATGTATAAAAAACGACGTTATTCCAAATTAGTGATCTATCTCGAAGCGTGTGAATCAGGTTCAATGTTTCAAAGATTGCTACCTCCAAATTTGAATAGTGAGTGTGTAATTGAGATGAATTTATTTACTGAAGTTATATGTTCGATTTGATTACTAACCGTTTCTTAACTGACATATTTGGTGTACTAACTAATGTGAGGATTATAAGTATGTAGGCTAATACATCCATTCGAGTAAGAGGCATCAGTTGAAACTTTATCAAGTATGTTTACTTGTGAAGTTGAAATTATGATTTTGACAGTTCTCAATGTCATGGAGGAAGAGGGTGAGGAAATTATCATAGGTGATGGAGTTTCTTTCTTGGTGCTAGATTTTCTTGGCTATGGAGCTTTTGTCGTTCTTCTGAACAACATCATCGGTATGAAACCTGGTTAACAGAACAAGCTACGAGTCAAACGTAGAGAAATTCGAATACTTCACTTCTCCTATCTAAAGTTTGTGCTGATGATGTTGTTCAGAATGAGGACAATGAAAGCTCCACTATCAAAACATCCAGCTCAGAGAACGAAACTCCAACAGAATCATCAACCTGAGCTACAAATTTTCTCTAACATCTCAAAGAAGTATACATGTGTATTAGGACAATTTAGTTATTTCCGATCATTTGTTAGTTTGTTTAAAATAAGTCCTGAAATGAATTTGAATTTACACACAGTAGACATTTTGAACAAGCACTATACATTGTTGTGAATGAAATTTTTACTTAACTTACTTTATGATCACCAATCTAACTATCTAGATATATTTAATTTACAATCAGGTGTTTGTAGTAAATTGTGCAATTTATCTACTTGGAGTTTTGTACATATTAACACAAGTTAACCAAGGATTATTTGTAACGTTAGGATAAATGATGGCAATCATAATGATGATTGAATGGGGATTCGAACTAAGAAGATTCATAGATTGACATATCATTCATTAGAAAGCTATCAAAATATCCAGTTGCCTCTCTTAGAGTTGTGATAATTACACTAATCGAATATTAATTCATGCATATCAAAGAATACTTTGAAATTATTTCGGGGCAGAGTTTTGGAGGTTTGCGTTTTTACACATTTGAAATCATCAATCAATCAATCATTGTTAGACCACCATTAGAAACCTGGAAGCACTGAAAGACGGCCGTTTCGTCCTGGCATGGGGCTCATCAGCAGTGAGCATCCACGACTCCTGCTCCTCACAGGATTCGATCTCGGGACCTTCTGTATTGTGTGCGAACGCCTAACCATCGGACCACTGGGCCGGTATCAAACGGTGTTAATGTTTAACTGATAGATCAAGGGATTTTGCGCTACCTCACCCATTTGTCTTTGGTAGTTACTGCCTACACTCGACAGGGTTGAACTCCATTGGTCACGTCTTCTCAACTAGAACTCCGAGAATTGCCTCACGAAGCTAGTCACTAGTGAGCACTGTTACGATATTTTGGGGCAGAGTTTTGAAAGTTTGCGTTTTTAAACATTTGAAATCATCAATCAATCATTGTTCAGTTTTTTGCAGTTGATTTATTGAAAATTTTCTATGTTACATTTCAATGAATTTTCTTTTACTCACAACTGCTTTTTTTAGTTTTCTTTACTTTTATTTTAAAAACGAAGCATAGTATTATTCTTTCTTTTTTTTGTAAAAAAATATATATAGTTTATGCAACAACAGCTGCTAACCCAGACGAGCCTAGTTTTGGTACTTTTTGTGAAGATCCCAGAATAGAAACTTGTTTAGCTGATTTGTATTCATATGATTGGATCACTGATTCAGAAACAGTAAGTTTTTTGGTTATAACTTATTTCTCAATAAAAAAATATCATACGGTTTGAAAACAAATAAACAAATGAAGGAATGATTTTATTGTTCACATATTCAGTTAGTAAGTCAGTCAGTCAGTTATGAAGTAGAACTTCGTACGTACGTACGTACATACATCAGTTCAGGTTGCCATACCATTTTCGTACACAGAGACTCACTTGTCATTTCAAATCCCATAGTGGTAGAGATAGTAGAAGTATAATCGTTAATGGAGAACATTAAGGTTCCAGGATATTATCCAAGAAGTATCATTCAGTGAGATAAGTTTAGAAAGAGAAAGGTAGAGTTGATGACGAATTAAGATTAAGATTTGATAGAACGCAAGGAATGAATACACCTGCGCCATTGCAACCGATTTTGAGCAATGTCATACAATGTCTCTAACCATTGGTGACTATCGTCTCGCGGACCCCAATCGAGTAGCCTACATCTACCAATATGATTCAGTTCACTTGTCAGTGACTTGATGGATTTCTGCCATGTTTTGGTCTGGCCGCCTCTAGCATTCTTCCGACCTACTCATACACTGCAAAACATAGCTCGTCGAGGCTGTCGGTGGTTAGGCATACGTAACACATGTCCCAACCACCTCAACTGATGAAGTTTCACCACTTCATCTATTGATCTGCCATCCTTACCTAGTACTCGTTTCCTAACGACAGCACTGCTTATTCGGTGGTCCTAGGATACACGAACAATGCTTTTAAGACATCTATAATCAAATTCTAATAACCCACGACTATCCCCTACTTTTACTGGCCATTGTTTGCATCCATATACTTTGACGGAGCAAACTGCTGTGCAGTTGACCCACCCTGTGGTTGATGGACGGATATCTTGCCTACGTGATAAATGACGCAAGTTGGCAAAAGCTAATCAAGCCTTCTGTATTCGTACTGAGTTTTCGTCAGTCAAAAAAGCCATCAGCACTGATAAGACTCCTGACGTAAGTGAAGCCGTCAACATACTCAACTGCTTCACTGCCTATCACGTTCACATATTCATATCTATCTTAAATGATATGAATCAGTAGTGAATCACTTTTAAGACTAGGTCATCCACACAAATTCATTAGTGGAAAGACATTGGTGCTGACTTGCACAATAGTTGACAAAAGTTGAATTCATTTGGTAATATTCAATTCAGAATAGTATACGAGCATTTATAGTGACTATTTAACAAATGGTTCCCTCTTCTGTCAGTGATTTTCACTTGGTACTCACTCAAACTGACTGTTCGTAAACCTGTGAAATAAAATATTATCTCTCGCTTGTTCTGAATCCATTTAGGTCGTTAATCGTGTGTGTCTAGTGAGTATCCAATCCAGAGGTATTATAAACTGAGATAGCTATTTAATCTCCTTGTAGTGATCCTGGGTAACGCAAAATATCTTCAAAACCACCATTATAACGTACGTTGAAATATAGCATATGGTCCATTTAAAAAGTTTTACACTAAATAACATCTAGGACTCTTGATTTTACTGTTATTCGAATTTTCTGGATCCCAAATTCAATTTTAATTGTCTATTGAGTAATTACAGTTTATATTGATAAATCTTAAATAATTGTTTAGTTTGTAGAAGGATTTCTACAACAAAGGTTAGCAAATCACACACAGTGGGTTGAGATCGATCATTAGAAATCCGTAATTAAACTGGTTAGAAAAGTGGCAAACAGCAGGTTTATGTTCCAAACACTGAAATATACTAAATGTTTAATAGACAATAATACATTTATCTCAGTAACTGGGACCCAGGACGAACTCATAGAATATTTGGTGAGTGCCTAGGAGTGATATCACCAAACTACTTACTTTACTTAATTATTTACTTACACCTGTTACTCCCGATGGAGCATAGTCCACTGACCAGCATTCTCCAACCTTGAGATGGTAAAAAAAACTTGTTGATCAGGTGGATGATTGTGGTGATGTTTCGTTCTCTGAGCTGGGTGGTTTGATTGTGGAGCTTTTATTGTTCTCCTGAACACTCAGCACGGAGAACGAAACACGACCATTCTCCAGCCTTCTCTGTCCTGGGCCTCTCTTTCCACTTCTGACCAACTTTTGTTCCTTCTTCCTATATTGTTCTCTATTTCACGGCGTAATGTGTTCCTCGGCCTTGAGGTTACCAAATGAGGGATTGTCTTGTGAGACAGCTGTGTGCTTTCAGCTGTATGTATCCTATCCACTTCCACCGTTTCTTCCTGATTTCTTCCTCAACTGGAATCCGGTTTGTTCACTCCCACAGTAGGTTGTTGCTGAAGGTGTCCGGCCAACGAATCCGAAATATTTTGTGTAGAAAACTGTTAATAAACACTTGTTCCTCTGGATGATGTCATTGGTAGTTCTCCAAGTTTTCGCCTCTATACAGTAGAACTGTCTTGAAAAAAAATAGCTCAAATCAATAGAAATCAGCTATTTTCATAAATCTTGTCGTCATTACATCTTTTCGCTAACTTTTTATACATTCAATTATTTGTTAAATATTTTTTATTATTCTCAATTTTATTTTTTATCGTGAAGCATCACCTAACACACCGAACACTTGATCAACAGTATAAAGAAGTCAGACGTGAAACAAATCTTAGTCATGTTCAAAAATATGGTGATCAGGTGAGTTCTTTTATTAAATTCGTCAAATGATTTAGGGGGGATGACACTGCCAGCTAAACTGTCAACAATGACAATGACTGATTTTTTATAATTCATTGTTGACAAAATTTTCATCATGACTTTGGGACTTGAATTTCATCTGAACAGACTGTTACGCATGTACGTAAACATATCAGTTTGTTACGCTTGAACTATTATGAGTTTACGTTAGTCGGAAAACGAGAGCGAGGATCGAGCATCCGGCGACATGACATGCTACTCTAATACAAGTATCCCAACCCCCATTGAGTGAAAGAAGACTTCATATGAAGTAAATGATGTATTCCATAAGCATCTAGAAAGTACGAGGTCCGAGTCCAGAAGAATGAAAGTATCCCGGAATGAGGAACTAGGTCCAGGTCCGGGTCATAAAAAGTTACAGATAATGTGTAATTATACAGTCAGATCGATTCAGAAACAGCATCGAAGTCTGTGACATTGACAGTTAAGGCGACCAATAGGAAAAAACATTTGAAGTGACATTGATATCTGGGACGACCATAATAGTGACCAATAGGAATCAACCAATAGAATTTACGCTTACAAAATGATTCTTCATAGGATATTTGGCGAATATGCTAACACATACTCAGATGGCATTCTTAATTGAATACTTTTCGAACTTTTAGTCAAACAAATAAACTGATAATTATAACAAGGAATTTGGCATCATAATAGGGTTGTGGAGAGTATTGAGTTTCATTGTATTATGTTCGTCACTTAGTCGATAAACGCGAACGAGACAATTACGAGCGTCCAGGTAGGCTACCTTGAATCCCAGCGGAATTAAAAAAGGCTTTGTAAGCGTAGAAGTGTATTCTACAAACGCCCAGCAGTCACAGTACAATCAAGCATCCAACTCTCGTTTATTTATAAATCATAGAAACGTCCTTGGGACAGTTAAGAAAATAGCACACTAAAATACACAGCAGCCAATCACAGCCCTGGATTTTCCAGGTCGGAAATAAAATCTCAAGGTCAACCGGTCATCCCATGCTGGCAAACGTGAAAACCAAAATAAGGCATTTATCAAGCGCGTTATGGGGATCTAACATCCGCAACACATTGAAATAATGAGTCGATCAATTTCTAAACCGACATAAGAAACTTGTAAGTACTGGCTAGCCGTTCCATTTTAGTACGGGACTAAACAATATACGTCTATGACCCCCTTAAGAGGGCATCAAACCCACGACTTTCGGTCTCACGCGAGAACACTGAACGTCTAAACCACTGACTCAGAATCCCACAATGTCCACGTCGAATCAATCCACGATGTCGCACTGTCTCATTCATTGTTTTCAGTGGGTAACTACTTCACACTCACCACTGACTAAACTCCACTGGTCATAATTTCTCACTAGAACTACAAAAATTCCTTCACGAAGCTATTCACAGTATGGACATGATAACTGTCATTATGGGGTTATGGATATTGTTGAGTTTTATTGAAATAATGGACGTTCGCTCGCGAGATTGACGATCCTGGTTTCAGTTTCTGGATGTGAAGGTTGTAGATGAGCGCTACTAAAATAGTTCCATTCTAGGAAGAAATGGCTGTCCAGTGTTTCCAGGTTTATAATGGTGAACTAATATTGACTGATTGATGAATACGAGGAAATTAGATAAAATTACCGACTATTGAGGAGGTGGGGACCAAAGATTAAACTTTATTATATCATTTGAGTTGATGAATATTAACGAAGAGTAATATTACCGTTTTTTTTCAATCTATGAAACATCAAGTCACTGAATTTTTAAGTAAGCTCTTTTAGTCGGTTGTGATAATCAAATGAAAAATGTCTTTTGTTTGTTCGTTTGTTTGCTTGATTGCTGAATAGAGAATGGGTAAATTACTTGTGAGTGAATTTCAAGGAAGTCGTGATAAAGTTTCAACAGAAAACGTTCAACCTCCAATGAAAGTAAGTCATATTTAAATGATTGATAAGTATTTTTATGAAACAATAAAATGTTTTTGTGATTGTCTCAATGTAGAGGATAAATGGTTTATAAGTTATTTAGAAACTTCATAGTGTGGTGCGCGCTACTTATAAGTAGTATATGACGCGAATAAAAACGTAATGTCTGGCAGCAGAAGATGGGGGAAGATCAAGAAAGGAAGAGTTAGAACTCAATGGGATTTGTATGAAACGCATGAATAAGTGAAATGTCAGACAATGGATTGATGATGGATTGAAGATTTGCAAATTAATGGTTTACGATATGGTTTTCCTATTTTACTGAGTAACTCTGTAATTTTCGTTAAATACAATTCGGTTGCCCTCACCTGTGTTCTCTTTCACTACAGTAGTAAAGCTGAAGATCCGTTACAGTTGAATGTTGTTTTGATTAATTTATTCAATCAGCCTATAATGATCATAGGAAAATAAATGAAGGATTTATGCCTTTTAGTCTATTGGCAGTAGGAAAACTTTCTATCTCATTGATCAAAATAGACTGATATGTTGATTTTTAATCCGAACACTTCGTAATAGTAAATTTGACGGTTAAAAATGTCGACATTTTGTCAATAGAATTCAAATCTCATAATTCGAATAAATAAACTCTAACTAGACCTTTCTATGTTTTGCCTTCGTTTAGGCAAGGGATTCCATCCATTCGAGAGATATTCCATTGCATACTCTGCAGCGTCAAATAATGATGACGAATAGTGCGGAGAAGAAAAACTTATTAACGCAAATTCTTGGTCTGAAACTCAAGGTGAGGCGTTTTTTCTCTGAGCTTTATTTATTTCACTCATTCTGTTCACCTATACCTGGTTTTCCAGTTTACATTACATAACTGTTGACATGGATTTTCCAAATCCTCAAAACCTGTCACTGTTACTACTACATGCTTTGCAGAATGTTTCTTCTAGAACATCCACAACCGTCAGGACATAAAATGTAGACCGCATAGGAGCTTCCTACGCTTCTTTCATATGTCGCGTTATTTACTGGCCCACATTCGCAAATTCATCGAGTCTTGAGTGGACGGAAACACTTTGATTTAGTAGAACGCTCTGGAGGCTTCTGAGGGCCATTCCAACATATGTGTTACTTGCATCTTTTCCCTTGACCTTGAGGGTCCCAAATGAGGGATTGTCTTGTGAGATAGTTATGTGCTTTCAGCTGTGTATATCCTATCCACTTCCACCGTTTCTTCCTGATTTCTTCCGCAACTGGAATCTGATTTGTTCTCTCCTAAAGTAAATTGTTGCTGATGGTGTCTGGCCAACGGATCTGAAGTATTTTGCGTAGAAAATTGTTTATTAATACTTGTATCTTGTGGATGACGACCTTGGTAGTTCTCTAGGTTTCCGCCCCATATTACAGAAAAGTCTTGATATTTGCATTGAAATTTCAGATTTTGGTGTTGGTTGATACTTGTTTGGAGTTTCAGATGTTCTTAAGTTGTAGAAATGATGTCCTTGCTTTCCTAATCCGCGCCTTCACATCTACATTAGATTTACTATGCTGATCAAGTCTGGATTCAACCCACGATGCTCACATCCATCCATATTGTTGATCAATCTTTTCTAGGAGGAAATAGCTGCTCATTATTGTTTCCTCATTTCAAACAGCTATCTGACTAAGATCAACCAATGCTCTAAAATAAAAGTCTGGACACTTAAGCTTCACTTTTTCAACGTTTATAATATGCACATATTTATCTGTCGTTTTTTGCATGAGTCAATTTCAAGTAAGATGTGCTTAAGACAACTTAATCACATACTATTCTCTAATTCACTTCATGTGTAAATAAATACATATATATTTACAGTGTTTCATTGCAATTTTTTCTAGAGACGAGATCTTATTGAAGATACAATGAGACTGATAGACAAAGTCATGAATAATGCAAAAATATCTATTTCCAATGTGACTACCGATCAAATTTTCGATTGTACAGAATCTGTTTATGAACATTTCAAAAATAAATGCTTCACCATTCAACAGGTAAATAATTGTCTTTTTAAAGTGGATGATTTTTTTGATGAATATATTAGTGTTCATACATACTTTTTTTTCCTACTTTGATATGTTGATAACTCGTCAGAATTTTATTTAGAATTGTACATTATTCTAAGTAGATTAGAACAATTGTATAGGTCATATCTAAACTGTAACTTTGTCTTATGCACTCATGTTATAGTTAGAAGAATGAATTTCAATGTTTAAAAGATGTCGAAAGAAACCAATGGATGCTAAACATTTGATTAACCGAAGTAACTACTAGTGTATTTAGTACAGAACTAGTTTGATTTTTAGTTGGACATGTTAGTTATAATAACGTTTAACATAACGACTGAGGTAAGATTGAGCGACTTATTGAAATGGTTGAATAAATCCATGGAATTGTATTTTACAGATATGAATCAATTAGTTTTACATTCGGATACTGTTTAAACCATTTAAGTTGTGCCATGATTTATGAAACTGAGAATTTAAAATTGAGACTGTCAAAGAATTAGGTTTTTCTTTGGCCCATGGAATCTGACCTTAACTAGACGAACAATTCAACAATGCTCTGAAATAAATCTCCCCCTTTTGATTTTCATATATGATGCTTAGGTGAACTATGTATGTGAGAATGCAGTAATAAGGAGCCAAATACGGATTCAGTTGGATGAGTTTATTTCATGCAGTCGTTGATTTAGGCAGATATAAGAATGAAAAGTCAGTCAGTTGCAACGTAGAACTTCGTACGTAAGTACATCAGTTCATGTCGCCATACCACATCAGCACAGAGATGTAATTGTCAATTCAAGTCCAATAGTAGAAGAGGTAGTAAAGGTATTAGAAGTAATCGGAGAGGTTAGGATTAGAAGATATTATTCAAGAAGTATGATTCAATGAGATAAGTTTAGAAAGGAAAAACTAGAGGTGTTGAAGAACCCAGAAGATTAGGATTTGAGAGAACACAAAGAACAAATGCACTGGCGCCATTGCGAACGATTTTGAGCCATGTCATTCAAGGTCTCTAACCATCGATTATTATCATCTCGCGGACCCCAACCAGGTAGTCGACAATTACCGACATGGCTCAGTCCACTCGTCAATGACTTCATGGATTTGTGCCATGTTTTGGTTTGGCCGCCCCTAACTTTCTTCCAACCTATTCCTACACTACAAAACAAGGCTTGACGAGGCAGTCGGTGGTTAGGCATACGCATCACATGTCCCAACCACCTCAACTGATGAAGTTTCAATGCTTCATCTACTGATCTGCCATTCTTACCTAGCACCCGATTTGTAATAACAGCGTTGCTCACTCGGGTGTCCCACCATATACGAGTAATGCTTCGAAGACACCTGTAGTTGAAAATATGCAACCTACGAATATATTCTCTGATTGGTCATGTTTCACAGCCATAAAGTAAGACGGAGCGAACCACTGCGCAGTACACTCGTCCTTTAGTCAGCAGACGTATATCTCGCCTTCGCCATAAGTGACGCAGGTTGGCAAAAACCAATCGAGCCTTCTGTATCCGAGCTGAGATTTCGTCAGTCACCAGGCCATCAGCACTGATGAGACTTCCAAGATAAGTGAAGCGGTCTACACGTTCGACCACTTCACTCCCTATCACTAGTTCAGGTGCCGATGAAACCCAATCCTGAAGCAACATTTTGCATTTCGAGGAGGAAAACCGCATCCCGAACATGCTTGCATTGTTGCTTAGGGTAGTCAGAAGACTCTGCATTTTGTCAGCGTCTTCACCAAGTAGGACTATGTCATCGGCATATTCTAAGTCGATAAGCGAGCCACCCGGTAAAAGGTCTACTCCAGAAAATTCAGACGAGGATAAGGTTATTTCTAGGAGCATGTCTATGATAAAATTAAACAAGAATAGAGAGAGTGGACATCCCTGACGGACACCACTTGATGTAGAGAATTCCGGTGACAGTTCGCCATAAGCTCTCACTCGACCAGTGGTGTTCGAGTAGAGAGCTTGTATGAGGTTAATGTACTTCTTTGGTACACCTTTCAATGACAGACACTGCCACAGAACCTCACGATCAACAGAGTCAAATGCCGCTTTTAGGTCCAGCGAAACAACTATTGTCGGACGCCTAAATGTGTGTCTGTGTTCCAAGACCTGTCGTAGTGTGAAAATGTGGTCTATACAACCACGTCCAGGTCGAAAACCAGCCTGGTTTTCTCGAGTTTGCTCTTCACGAGCTTTCGTTAAGCGTCGAAGTATTACTGAGGCCAATATTTTAGATACTATATTAGTTAGACTTATTCCCCTGTGATTGTCACAAGAAGACTTTTGTCCTTTCTTATAGATTGGGACAATCAGTGATTGAGACCAGTCGGATGGGATTGCGTTCAGTTCCCAGATTCTACCTAAGATCTCAGTCAACCTAGTTGCTAAAACTGGACCACCATCCTTAAATATCTCAAGGGTCAGTCTATCAGGACCTGCAGCTCGTCCTCGCTTCAGATTTCCTAACGCTTTCTCTACTTCATTAAGACTAGGGGGATTTACGTCGATTTGCCGTTCAGGATGACTGGAGATCGTGGGTAACTGAAGAGTGGCTCGAGGCCAGTTGAACTGATCCCTAAAGTGTTCTGCCCATCGATCCAGTCTCCTGGATTGAGAATAAATAAGAGTCCCGTCATTTTCTGAGATAGTCTCACTTACACTAGGATTCCTAATACCAGTTTCCTTGATAAGTCGGAGAAGTTGTCTACTGTTGCCTATCGCCGCTGCCTTTTCCATCGCTTTTGCTTTCGCCACCCACCACTGTTCGAGATCGTTACTTAGGCTTTTTATAAGTCTGCGCCTAAGTTGACTTCGTTCTTCATCATGTTCAGAGCCAGGTGGGATCAGTTTTCGGGCATCCATCAGATCGTTGGATGCTACTGAGATCCACGGCTTCATTCTAGCCTTATGGTCAACCTTAATAGCAGATATCACTGCTCTTTCCACAGCCTCCTTGATATCATTCCATCCTACTTCCGGATGGGAATCGCCCAAATGGTCGCCTAACTGTCTTTCTAGTTGTTCCTGAAATATATTTTTCGCCTTATTATCATTAAGTAGAACCCTAAGAGGTTTTCTTACGGTGTCTTTCCTACGTCCAGTAAGCCTAAAACAAATACGAGTTCGCACTAGGGCATGATCTTCATCTAGAATTGTGCCCCAGAATGAGCGACAGTCCTCTATCGAACCCCTCCATCGGTGACTGATGGCGATGTGATCTAGTTGAGTCCAACGTTTAGACGACTTTGGAGGTCGCCAGGTCAACAGATGCTCTTCCTTATGCCTAAAGTTAGTGTTTGCTAAGAATAGGCGGTTGTCTGAGCATATTTGCAACAGACGGTCACCATTGTCTGTTCTCTGAGTCGCGACACCATAACATCCACCTAGGTGTCTTTCATTTTCACTCAATCTACCTACTTGAGCATTAAAGTCACCAGCCATTAATACTATATCAGAGCGCCTAGCTTTTTGGAGGAGGTTCGAAAGCTTTCTGTAAAACTCATCTTTAACCTCGTCTGAACTGCATTCAGTGGGGGCATAGGCAGATACGATGAAGAGGCAACGGCGAGTGTCCCTATCTTTCCGAGTCCTTACTGGCCAATTTAGTCGGACAGCGCAGAAGCGACTGTCTACAGAGATCCAGTCAAGGAGAGATTCTTCCGCTCTACGACTCAATGCTATGCCTACGCCAGCAAGACCCCTGGAAGCAGCATCACGGCTACTGGATACACGAAAAGTAAATCGAGCTGCTTCTTTATTTTGGCAAGGTGAAATCAGATTAATGATTTTACTAGGATCCTGTATGCGCGTTTCCGAGACGCAGCAGACATCGATGGCACGAGATTCTAAAGTCCTAGCTAGTGATGCCTGTTGCCTATTTGACACAATGTCCGTACATCAAAAGCTCCAACATGTAGTCTAGAGCGAGGTTTAAGGAGACCAGGAATGACGTTTCGCGAACTCGTGTCATCTGCATTAGCTGTGCACTGTGATAAATGAATGTTAGAAGGTTAGACGTGGAGATAAGAGAGGTACTAAGGGGTGTAGGAAGGATTTGATTTTGACCAATTCGGTCTCGCGTGCTATTACGGGTATGAGAGAGATTATCACTTCCCGGCTGCCCACACCGTGGAAGGTTGTTTCTTGAGGAACCTGAAAAGGAAGATGGATTAGTGTTGGTCTTAGAGACCTGGGTGCGTGATCGCAGAGCCCAAGGGACAACTGCTTGAGGCCGGTCACGCACGGCCTTTTTATGAAATGTTTTTTGAGGATTAGCTCCGTTCTTAAAGGCCCTTAGTGGGCACCCCTATCGCCGGAGACGAAAATCCGTGAGGTAGTGTGAGGTGTGTAATTTTTAGGGCTGACCTTTTCTAACCCTTCGTTCCTTGTGAGAAGGCAGCATCGCTGCAGATGCTGGTTGTCCGAGGGAAACACCTTACTGCTGTCACACCCCTCTACAGTCAGTCAGCAGTACGACTTCGCCCTCAGACCTTGAGTAGCTGCTTTTAGTCTCATCGTCCTCCAATCGACCTGCCTGACATGGTAGAACGTACAGGAACATATTTTCCAGCCAATATAGCTCGGTTGGGTCATGACGATAGGCAAGCCTGACCACCACGTCAAGGTAGCAGCTACGGTCGGGATGAGAATGAAAAGCGTAAAAGTAAATCGAAACGAAGTGAAGTGAAGGCAAATGAGACAAATCAATGTGATGATGAGACATGACTAATTATTTATAGTCAGATAAAAATAGACTAGATATTTGAGAAGCGAAGTAAGCATCACATGCACACACAACCAAGTTATGAGCAAACAAGGTCAAATGACATGCAAATAATAACTCGAGGAGAATGGATTAATTAATTAGTTCTAAGTTCAGGACAAGCTATGTATGCTCAACCTATGAATGCACGCTACAAGTTACACTCTCCTTTTGTCATAGTTTTCGTCATAAAATCTATAAACTTTTCAATATTACTATGTTCAAGCGATATTTTATTGAATACATATGGATTGATGATTACATTGAAAATACTTATACTTTCAATTTCTAATTGTATTACATTTTTATTCTACTAGGTTTTGTAAAACAATCATGTGAAAAATTTATATCATTTGAGATTATAATCCTTCAAAAAATATATTAGGTATCAACTAATGAACAGAATTTTATGAGAAGTGTATGCTATGGTGGTGTTACATTCTCTGATCTGGATGTTTTGGTTGTGGAGATCTCATTGTTCTTCTGCTGAACAACATCATCAGAACAACATCGAATTACTTCGAATACTTCACTTATTCCATCTGAAGTTTGTGCTGATGATGATGTCGTAGTTCAGAAGAAGAACAATAAAAGCTCCACCTGAGCTACAAATTTTCTCCACCCTCTCAGTGTATGTTGTTACATACCGATACCTATATTCTTGTTAAGTTATCTATATTTAACTTCTTTTGGTAATGTTTATAGAACAAAACATGCACGTAAAAATCCAATAATTCATCTATACACATTTCTGTACAGAGCTGTAGTATGGTAACACTTACCAAGTGTTGAAGCTGGCGAATCATATCAACTGATATCATGCCATTTAAAAGTGGCTAAATAGGAACGTCATTTATTGACCATCAGAGAAATGTCCTAAAGGACTAATGAACATTAATAATCGAAAAATCGATTCATTTTCTAAGGGGGGTGGTGTAATATGAATAGTATACCTACATCTTATTCGAATTCCCACTCTTGCCTCCTCGCGTAAGTACTCAGCTTCTGGGGCGTAAACGCGTATCGCACCCAGACCCTGGCTGATAAGTCTGGTAAATGACCGCCAAATGTGAATTGTTAGCCGCTCATGATTATCCGAAACTGAATTTACACTGCAGCCTGAACACAGGAAAAAAGAGCGACATAGGAGAACAACGCTTCGCCCTTAAGTTATTTTATGTACAGAAAAATGAGGGTAATTACATTACTTCTCATAACCTTTGGCTTCTCTAGTGCCCTGGAACTATATAGCTATGGTATGGCCTAATATCCAATCAAAATCGTTTTAAATAATTCTGGTTTTTCCAAATGTTTCTGTGATGGTTTTATTCAGTGCTGATTGGATGAAGCGTTTTCTGGCGTTTCTTGGCCTCTAAAGACTTTTCGAGAGATATTTCGGGTTCTCTGACATCGAACACCGCTCATCATAACATACACTACATTTCTGCACTTGACCCAACTGTAAATTTCATTATTTAAATTTAGTGATCGTGGACTCTATCAGAAACGAACTACTTACTGTCATTAGATTCGACACAATCGATCACATCATATCTGACCAATATTTATTATACTTTTATTTCGTTTAAACCGTTTTCAGGCTCCAGAAGTTGCAGGACATTTTTCAACTCTTCAAAATTATTGTAAAAATGGTTATGCAGCTGAAACGATCAATGAATCAATTACGAAAATTTGCAGCTGACTGAAAATTATTTTATAAATGAAATAAATTTAGTTAATTTGAAATTTTGAATAAATGATTCATTCCTCAATAACAAGCCTACAATCTTTCGTAACTAAAGATGAGGATGTTTAAATCTTTAAACTAGGTAACTTATTTGTTTGGTAATCTTCTAGCTATGTACATTCTACTGAAAATGACATCGTGGTGATATTAAACAGAAGGTTAAGCCTACAGTGAATAGAATTAGTTCCATAACCCATGTTCTTCGTAATTTTTCATCAGCCAATGTTCGACTACTTCATTAGATAACCAACTTATTTTCAGCTTTATGAACCCTGATTACCATTTCCACATTTAGGTACCTCCTCTTAGATATTGTTTATTTATTTGCTACATTTGTTTTTTCAGTCTTTATTATTATAGTGAATTCTTTACACTGTCATGATGATATATATTTATTAGTAACAGTTCTCACAAATGTATGTCATTTTCTAATATACTATAGACTGTTCACAGTCCATTAGAACCTAGTGGAGTAAAAATAGCGGTCTCAAAACTTTTTCACGGTTTACACTGACTCTGTGTATCTTAAAATTTAAGGAATTTACTATGCACCAACGCATACGGGTGAAATTGAATCACTTTCGTTTGAGATACTTTGTAAAACTTTTCACAATTTCTTCAGACATTCTACATAAGTTGAGAAATGCTCGAGTTGAAACTCGTTGTAGGGTCAATAAAAATGATGATTTTAGAAAATAATTCCAAAACCCGTTGATACAAACATGATGTTCATGAGTTAACCAACAGGAATTTATATAATGCCTCATAGACTTTTCGAAAGACAACTAGGCGAGATATCCGTCTGCTAACTAAACGAAGAGAGTACTGAGCAGTACTTTGCTTCGTACTACTTTACGGCTATAAAATATGGCCAGTGTGAGTGGAGGATATTCGTAGGTTACTGGTTTTTGATCATGGGTGTCTCCGAAACATCGCTCGTTCACCTTGGAACTATCGAGTAAGCTATGCTGTCGTTAGGAAACGGATACTAGGTAAGAATGGCAGTAGTGAAACTTCATCAGTTCAGGTGGTTGGGACATGTGTTACGAATGCCCAACCACCAACTGCCTCGACCAGCAACGTTTTGTGGTTTATGAGTAGGTTGGAAGAAAACTAGGGGCAGCCAGACCAAAGCTTGGCACAAATCCATGAAATCACTAACAAGTGAACTGAGTGATGATGTTAGATGTAGATTACCTGGTTGTGGTCCGCGAGACGAAATTAACCAATGGTCACAGGCTTTGAATGATATGGCTCAAAATCGTATATAATGGCACAGATGCATCCACTCTTCGAGTTCTCTCAAATTCTTATCTTATGAATTCCTCATGATCGTCATCTATCTCTTCTTAAATTTATTTCCTTGGATAATACTTCTTGAATCATATCTTTGAACCCTAAGCTTCTCTATTTCAGCTAATACTTCTACGATCTCTACTCTACCACTATGTAATTTAAACTGAAAATTGTGTCTCTGTACTAATGTGGAATGGAAACTTAAACTGATGTAGGTACGTACGAAGTTCTAACTTGTAGCTAACTGCTTGTTTAGAACTATCAAAGACATCTATCTTGCGGCCAAAGAGTAAATCTTAGCTGATGCTTAAGCTAGATTACCAAACATATATGCACTTAAATTTCCTACTCATCCCGATGCAACAAAATTGTTATATCTATTATTAACTGATATCTTTGTAGTTATCAGAATAATAATCAGCAGAATTAGGAATTCTGTGGAGGTACAACATTTGTGATGTTTTGGCATCCCAAAAGTGTACTAACCTTTTGATTGAGCAAAATATTATATGCAGAAGATACATGCCTACGACAAACTTCCAAGGATACTGTCTGCATAAATTAAGTACAAAGACAAAGCTATATAATCACTCGGTTTACTTAACCGCGATCAAATATTTAAGTGAGATTTGTTTAGAGACTCATCATACCTATCCGAAAATGACTTTGTTACTACAATAACAAGTATATGTTTTCCTGACATTTTAATACATTTATTAAAACTGACCTCATTTTAGAAATATATGTGATCGTTCGATTCAACTGAATTCGCAACTGGTTCGCAAGTTGAAATAAGTGAAATGAATGATTTTTTTTAGTGGAAGTTGTGATTTACTCTAATGCTTTCAACACTTCGCCCCTCGGTACTGCCACGTACCTATGATTCTACATTAGATCACAGAAACTCTGTGCCTTCTTCCCCGTGTTTCGCGACACAAGACAACGGAACGCAGGAATATATTGTTCCAACTCTCGTCGTACCTGTTCCATGAATGAGCTCCATGTTAACGCCAGTCTCTGATTAATAAAGACGTGTCTTCCGGGGTTATATGTATTCCAATTTCAGTGAATTATGAATGATTTAGCATTATGTCTCTTACCGGAACAGCTTTTGACTGAACAAAGATAAGTCGTGCATTGATACGCGTAAACAGGCATTGCATAAATAGGTTTTCGTAATGCCACACTATTAGCTCAGTGAAGGTCCAATATGCAATATATTTTTCATGCACTAGCATAAGCTCAATACTTCACACGCAAACACAGGACTTCTATATAAGTTACTGGATCCACTCTAAGTTGATTACTTAGACAGTAAAAGGTAAAGTTGCAATTTTGGATGACTTTCAGATCATATTCTAGTCCCGTTTACATTCAATACTATTATTTTCCTCCTTCTAAAACTCCTATCTTGAGTAGTGTACCGTTCAAATTATCTCGTTTACCGTCCTTAAATCTCTTGGATAACATGTTCAGGAATGGCATCGCTATCACTTCTTACACTATAACAGCTAAGAAAACTAGTCGACGTATGAATTCCGGTGCTGGTAGTGCGTCCGAAATAGCTCTCTCGAGTGATACAGTTGCGACAGAGCTCAAAACGTTACTCGATAGTGTACTCAGAGTAATGTTCACAATTTGACCACCCGACTGGAACACCTCACCAAAGAAACCAAGATGACAGTGTTCGGATTCCTACTCCTAGTAAGACCAGTAGAAAAAATAAGAATAGGAGAAAAAGGCATCCTAAAACTCGATCGACACAACCTACATTTCCGAACGCACACATAGGTAACTGTGTTAACTGCTTCTACCGGTCAGAACCGGGACAATGTATTTGAATGCAGGTTCTACAGTGCATGGGTGCATTGTAAGTGTAACACTGCAGTAGGTAGCTAGTTAGGTGCACTAATGCTGAGTCACCCCTCGCTGTGATTCTAGTATATTTGTCCACAGTTCAGAACCACTGAGACTGAAAACTTAGCATTAGCAGAGTCACAGGCTCCAACGAAAACGGACCTGCAAATCCTCACAGGTAAACCTAACTCAGCCACCACCAAACCGGCGGAACAAATAACAAAATTAGCACCAGTACCTATTAATAGTAAAGAGCAGTTGGTGAGTGTGAAATAGGGGACGTTAGAAAGAATTCACCAACATTAATATCCCTGTGTCGGAGTGTAGCTTATTGTAAAGTAGAGCTGCCTTTGATAAACCAGTCGGACAACTACTGCGCAGTCCTTGGAATGAGCAGTATTCCGGCCAGAACTTCACCAAAGGGAAACATTCACCTCTGAGGATGACCTTAGATTCAGCACAAATTGCCGAAGAAATCTTACTAACATCCCAGAAAATTTCGGCCATATTGTCCTCCCGGATCCGGGTCAGGCACAACAAATTATGCGCAGTAGTAGCAACAGCCAGGACATCAAATGCACCCAAGATCAGACCACTTTGACAGTTCACAGAGAGGCCGAACTGGTCAGAGGTAGCGTGGATGAAGCTCATACATATGGTATGAGACAATGGCAACGCTATCACCTGGCATGGGTCTGCACACTAAAATTGTATTTAGCACTTCCCGGATGATTCACTCGCCAAACCACATGACCATTAGGTCTCCACAACTGATGGCTATGGACTTAAAAAACATAGAAGACCTAACTAAGGCAATGCAGGCTTGCTGCAGCATGAAAAACGATCTCCCTAGATGTAGATGTTGTGAGAACCGAACTAGATCTGTGATATGACAGCACGGAGGCCTAAATAAGCGCACACAAAGACAGATGACTTCGGTCAAAAATCCATTGCACAAGACACGAATATCATGGTTTCTCGAATGAACTACACAAGCAAAAAGCTGCAGAAGCCAGCTACTACAGAACTAGCTAAGTCGGTTTGAAAAAGTAGTAACAGCGGATGTTTCTGCAGAGGTGAACCAGGCGGTGAGACAAACCACTAAATGAAGGAGCATCTTTTACATGCTTCACGGACACCGGATGGTGAGGGTCAAAACTACATAATTACTGACAAACAGTAGGAGCTAACATCAACAATGCTGTACCTCACAATGCACTTCAGACACATCACATACTAGGAAAGAGGGGAACATGGGTTAAGAGAAGCACTGAGTGCATGCTACAAGTGAAAAGGAGAGCTTGTCACAAGTGGACGGATTCCGAACGTAGTTCCTAATTGGCATTTAGAAACAGATGCAATGCCAATGTCATAAGAAATGGGAAGCACTTCCAGATGAGGCTAACTGCCTAAATACAGGCAAACACAAATATCTGTTTAATATTGTGAATTAAGAAAATGTCTTCAAGGTTGGGTACAGGAACGTATACACTCTGATTTACTAAGAAAAGGAATTGACTGGCGTATCAACCCTCCAGATGCTAGTCATTGGGGAGGAGTGTGGGAGCGCATGATTCGTTCTGTGCATAGGGTATTGGGTGCTCTTGTAAAGGAACAATTTTTAACAGATGATTGCCTTGAAACTTTTATGATAGAGGCGGAGCGTATCATTAACACTCAACCTTTGGTTCCCGTTGCAGATGACTCGAAGGATCTTGATGCAATAACACCAGCAAAACTATTACTGTTGAGAGAGAATGTTGCAGAATTCACTAACACTATCTAATGACAGGTATTCTAAG